AGCCCTAAATCCGCTCAGCAGCACACGCACTGAAAACCCAGATCACACGGCGCACACCAGCAACAAAAATCACACAGTACACATCAGCAACATTAACAACGACACCAACAACAACGCGCTCACGGAACTGGCGCATCACGAACCACACAGAACACACCGCCAACAATAATCACACAGCACGCACCGCCAACAACACCGCGCACCACACAGAAACCACAGAGCACGCTCCAGCAAAAATGTCGCGCATCACGCCCCAGCAGAAAAAAACGCAACGCAGTCAACGCCGACAACAAACATCACACAGCACACACCGAACGACAACAACTACACAGCACGTCGTGGAGCCCTCTTGTTGGGGCCATCTTGAGGCGCTCTAGGATCGGATTATTGGGGGGCGCCTTAATTCAAGCTTGTCGGAGCCATTTCCTTGGAGCCCCTGGGAAAATCGGGGGTTGCTTTTTCCGCGACCACGACGACGACGAAGACGTTGGCGACAACGCCGGTGCCGAGCCCGACTGACGGCGGTCCCAAGTCGAGGCCGCTTGGTTGCCGGCTGCAGGTCGGGCCAGTCCGAATCCATCCTGCCTGGGGGCACCACGGTTGGCGGCAGGAGGCGGTGGAAGGGTGGGCGGGTGGGCGGAGCGACGAGCGGCGGGGGGGTGGATCAGTTACACCAGAGAAAACCCCAATCAGTGGATTTCTGACATGTGTCGCAGGTACCTCGATCGGTCCGCATCCCGCCCCAGTCTAGTTCAAATATACATTGTAGTTTGGCATAGTTGTTTAATCATCATCTCTCTACGTAGCACCTCGTGGGGCCATCTTGGGCCAGCATGGGCCAGCTCGGGGCCGTCGCGGGGCCATATTGGGGCCATCGTGGACCATTGTGGGGCCACCTTGGGCCATGTTGATGGGGCCATATTGGGCCATGCCTACTACTAGGGTCATGGCCATGTCCAACTCGGAGTTTGACAACATGGGGCCCACTGGAGCCACATTGGGGCCATCGTGGAAGCGTGTCAGGGCCATCGTGGACACGTCCTCTTCAGGCCATGGCCATGTCTTCTAAGTGTAGGGTTATAAGGCTATTGTACACCTATGGAGCTATATGGCTTTAGGGTGATAGGGCTGCGCGGATGTATCAACGGGGCATGTGTCCGCATTCTATCTAGACGCTTCGCGTATCCCCACCAGCCCATCCAGAAACGACGCCCAGGAACATTGACAGAAGAAGGGAAGCAGAGACGCACATAGTAGTGAAACAGAGCAGGCAACAACGATGAATAGGGATATAGTTGTGGCGAAGGTTGAACGTGTTATTGATGGTGTTATTGATCCTGATGGTATTGCTGCTGCTGTTGTTGCTGATAGCGCTGCTGACGTTGCTGATGGTGGTGATGGTTCTCGGATAATGCGTAGGCGGATAAAGGGGCGGGGAGGAGAAGGAGAAGGAGGGGAAGAAGGAGGGGGAAACATGACGAACATACATAAGATCATTTTAGGACGTATATTCTTGGGAGTTGCGTTGGGAACCTCGTGGAGCGTCTGATTGGGGGTATCACGGGTGCCTCGGGGATCGTCGTGAAGCATCTTCGGGGTCTCGTGGAGATCTCATGAATGCATTTCGGAGCCCCCTTGGGATATCGCTTGGGCGGTTTTTGGAGGCCGCGTGGGACGTCGTCGCGGGGGTCTCGCGGCGGTCCTGAGGGATTCGCGGGCGTCTCGGGTGTTTCGGGGAGGCCTCGCGGGGCCGCCTGGGGTCCTCGCGGGGGTCTCTTGGGGGCATCGCGGGGCCATAGTAGTGTTGGGGCCATTATCGCGGGGCTGCATGGGCGCATCGGGGGGCCATCTTCTTGGAGGACATCGATCAAGAAAGTGGGGGCCCTAATAAGTACGACCCCCCCTCCTCGGCGGGCGCTCCTAAAATTGTATCATGGGCCCACATTTGGGCGCTATTGGAGCGCTCTTGGGCACTATTATTGAGCTCATACTACTAGGGCTATTACGGGCCCATCTTGGGGACAGCCTGGGCCATCGCGGAGCCATCTCGAGGCGCCGGATGGCCATCGGAAGCGAAACGAAAACGAGAAGGCACATAATATCAGTGGTTTACCTTCGGTGTTTGAAGAAGTGCGGCTTCTTGGGGGCACCATTCGTCTTGGGAAGTGGGTTGGCATATCAGTGGAACCATCGTGGGCCGACATTGGGGCCTATTGGAGCATCTTCGGCTGCATATTTAGGAATATTGTTATTCGGATATAACACTATTGAGCCATCTTGTAGCCAATCGTGACTATCTGGGGCGATATTGGAGCTGTCGCGGGCCTGCTTGGGCGCCCCAACACGTCGCGAATTCTCCTGTCCAGGTCCAGGGGAGGGGGTAGGGGGAGGAGCAAACCCTTCCCCGAAGAAGGGGAAGAAGGAGTTGGAAGAGGAAACTCTATAATAAACCACCTACGCCCACAAGGAGGGCTGGTGGGAGTTGTTACCCCCGACGTTCTGGGGTACACTAGAAGATTATACGACCCAAATTATTGCTTCCAGGGGCTGGGGCCGTTTTTTTTGCATGTCCAAGCGTCCTCAAGGAGCCATCGCGGGGCCAGCTTGGGCCATCTATCTCGGGGCCATCGCGGGGCCGCCCCGCCCGCCGCCCACCCACCACACACACGCCTACTACTACTACCACCGCCCACCCACCACCCGCGACGACCCACCCACCCACCACCCACCCACCACCCACCCACCACCCACCCACCACCCACCACCAACCACCCGAATTTGATTGGAACTCAAAACGAGGACCTCGGAAATCTCAGCCAGACACCGACATCATCGGCGGGACACGTTCGCCAAATCGTTCAACCTCCGCGTGGGCCCCTTCTCCAGCGCAAGCACTGATTGGGGAGGGTCGGCTTTTTTCCTGTCGAAGAAGTGTGAAACAAAAAGCTGGACAGGGAGGCCACCACGGGAGGTCCGGGTTGTTTTTCGACCTGTCCCTTCGTAGCAGCCTGCTCCCGCGCAGCGACTGCCCACAGCATCAGTCAGCGCGGCGAGGCTGAGCGCGGCGCCCACCGCCGCGCCCCTGAACTTGACAGGGGTACAGGGCGGCAGGGCGACAGGGGCAGCACAGAAGGAAGGGTGATGATGATGATGATGATGATGATGATGATGATGATGATGATGATGATGAGTTCATGCATCGCCAACAACATGACCCAACGTGTTCCCTACCTCCTAGGCTCTGCCTAGAAGATAATGGGTTCTCACTCGCTGGGCTTACCCAGTCCCCGCCTTGCGGTTCTCCCAGTAGTAGTTGCACCCACGTATTCCAGCGTTGCGTATATCATCTTAGCCCAGCTTAATATTGCTTAGCTTAACGTAGTTTCATCATCTTAGCGTCGCGTAGCTGTAGCTTACCTTACCTTAGCTTAGCATAACATAACCCAGCGTAACATAGCATAGCGCAGCATAGCATACCATAGCATAGCACAGCGCAGCATAGCACAGCATAGTAGCATAGCATAGCGCAGCAAAGCATAGCATATCCTAGCATAACAGAGCGCAGCCTAGCGCAGCATAACATCATAGCGCAGCACAGCGCAGCATAGCATAGCACAGCACAGCATCCACTACTTTTTTGCTGCTGCTAGTAGAGGCTCCAACTCACTCCTCCTAGGTAGGGTCGCACTGGGACAATTTCAGAACAAGTCAGCGCCTTCCGAACGCCAACAGGGAGGGAAAGGGAGGAGGATGACGGGGGGGGAAGGGGGAGGAAGAGAGAAACGGCTCGCCGGGCCCATTCGGCCGCCTTCAGAACGAAGGAGGAGGAGGAGGAGGAGGAGGAGGAGGAGGGCGAGCACAGCTTGCTGACCAAAATCATTATTTTTTCAATTTGTTTTGGGGGGGGTTGGCGAGAGCCGCGTGCAAAAAAAGATAGCGCTCTCGGCAGCGGTGGACGTCCACCGCCGGCGAGGGGGAAATTATTTCTGATTCCACAGATGGCGAGAGCACATCTTGATTTCACACCCTCCCTCGGCAGCTGCGGTTTTCAAAAAAATTGTTCCCTCGGCAGCGGTGGGCGTCCACCACCGGCGAGAGCTCAATGATTTTCACAACGACATCTCGGCAGAGCCAACCTCAGATTTTGTCAGGATCAGGGTTTCCGAAAAAGAAAATTGAAACGGGGCGGAGGGCGATGAACATAGGGAAGCCACGCTGCAAGGTTGCATGGCCAATCGATGGGGCATGGCTTCGGACCCCGCCGCCCCCCCCGTGGAAAGGATCGATGGGCCCCAAGTGGGGCGATGTCATGATGGTGATGATGATGATGATGAACCATCGTTGCCCCGCCCCAGCATGGTGGCCCTGCTGTCTTCGCAATAACATGTTGTTAGAAGAAACCTAGAAGCGGGGGAGGGGGGGGGTGATGATGGGGAGGGGGAGGAGGCGGAGGATAAGGAGGAGAAGAAGAAGAAGGAGGGTCAGGTATCATTATCACAACAACCCTGCACGTTGCTGCGCCACGGCATATCATAGCAGCGCAATCCTGAGAACAGCAGCAGCACTGAGCACCGTGCTAATCATCACACCAGCCTCCTGGGCGTAGGTGTTGTTTGTTTGGGGAGTTGCCTCTTCCAACCTCATTTTTCCCCGTCGGGGGGGGGGGGGGGTATTATTTAACCCCCCCCTACATCTGCCCCTCCTGGACCTGGACGACGGGTTTTGCGACGCGTTGGAGTGTCCAAAAAGAGGGCCCAAGACGGCTCCAAGAGCGCCTTGCAGAGCCCAAGATGAGCTACAAGATGGCCCAAGCTGATGCTAGCATACTGTTATTCCTCATCATCATGATGCATCCGAAGATGCCCCAAGCGGCACCAAGGCCGCCCCAAGAAGAAGACGGCTCCAAGAGGCCAAAGAGCTTCACAAGGAGGCGCCCAAGAAGAAGCCAACATCTTTCAAACACCTTAGAAGGGAAACCACTGATGTGCGCCGTCTCGTCTGTTCGTTTCCGATGGCCATCCGAGGCCTCCAGATGGCTCCACGCGGGCCCAAGAAGAGGGCCCCGATGGGGCGCCCAAGAAAAGAGCCCCAGGACGACGGCCGCAAGAGCGCCCAACAAGAGCGCTCCAGGAGCGCCCCAAGAAGAGGGGTCTAGGATCTAGGACGCGAGTTTAGGAACGCCCGAGGGGGGGCCGCGACAATAATTAAGGAACCACCCTTTTTTTGATCGCTGTCACACGAGAAGATGGCCCCACGAGGCGCCCAGGAGGCCCCCAGAAGAAGAGGCCACAAGATGGCGCCGAGATAGCCCCAGATGGCCCCTAATAAAAATAATAAGGGGCCCCCAATATACCCCTAAGAGGACCCCCGCCGGCCCCGAGAGGCCTCCCTGGGGCACCCAAGGCGCCCAAGAGCCCCTCAGGACCGCGAAAAGACCTCCAAGACGTCCCAAGAGGCCACCAACAAAGCGCCCAAGAGATATCACACGGGGCTCCGAGAGGCATTCAGGAGATCTCCAAGAGACCCCGAAAAAGCTTCAAGGTGATCCCCGAGGCGCCCAAGAGCTCCCCCAGACGCTCCAGGAGGTTTCCAAAACAACTCCCAAGAAACAGCATAAGAGGATCTTATGCTCGTCACGTTTCTTCCTACTTCTTACCATTGGGTATGTTATCCTCCTCCTTCTCCCCCTCCCCCCCCATTATTAGTATTATTATTACCCGCCTACGCATCATCGGAGAACCAGCAGCAACAGCACTGGCAGCAGCAACGGCAGCAGCAGCAGCAGCAGCACCAGAAGGTGCAAGAAGAGCACCAGCAGTAACACTTGCAACCTTCGCCACAAAAGATCTCCCAACTCACCGGAGTTACCCGCTCTGGTTTATGTGCGTCTCTTCTTCCCTTCTTCCGTCAGCGTTCCTGGGCATCGTTTCTGGATTGGTTGGTGCGGATGATACGCGAAGCGTCTAATTTTTTCAAAGCAGCGAAGCAGCATCACCTGCTGCAGCCTCTAATCATCAATTAACGGGGTTCCTCAACGTCGCAGCGAAGAAACCCATCGCCTTGAACATCTGAGTCAAGATCCGCGCCGTCGCCTTCGCGTCCATCGAATTTCCGACCATCATTCTCATCTGGCGATCTGACACGCGCTCCGGCCTGACGAGGCGCGCTGTGCCCCGCTCGATGCCCTGGAGCTTCATCATCTCGTTCAAATTGAGATACCTACTGCGGGAAAACAACCAGTAAGAATTCCCTCCTGCGTGTTGGCGGGTTAGGCATGGGCACACGTTCTTCATCAGGTTCACCCTCCGAGTGAGGCCCATCATGAGGTCGCCAACGTAGTTTCCTCTCTTCAACTTGCTCGCTGCGTTCGGGCCGCCGATCTTCTCCAGGCACTTCGTGTAGTTGGCGAGGGCGGTCCTGGATTCCGGGAGGGCGGTGCCTTTGTTGTCGGCATCGAGGTACTTGTCCAGGGGATCCACGGCGAGGGCGTCGGCGGGCCACGTGAAGCAGCCGAATTGCTCCTCCAGCGATTTCCATATGCCGACTATGAAAAGCCGGCGCCGGGAGTGGGGAAGGCCAGATGTAGTCTGGGAGTCTAGAACCTTGTAGTACAAGTTGTAGCCCTTGGACCCTTTGCCCTTGATCTCCTGGAGGGCGGACAAGATCTTGTGGAATGTGTGCGCGTGGCTGGTGAGCAGCCCTTCGACGTTCTCTAACAAAAACCCTTTGGGCAACAGCGCCTTGATCCCAGCCACCACGTACTCGGCAATGGAACGATGATCGTCTGCACCAAAACCATAGCCTTCCATCGAGAAGGGCTGGCACGGGAAACCTGCCGTCAACGAGAAGAGCTGGTCATCAGCGGTGATGGCCTTAGCGAGCTGCTGCATGTTGATGCCCTTGATGTCGCCGAAGACGTTGCCGCGGCGAAGGCCACGGTGGTTCTTCTCGAGAACCAGGCGGCATAATCCGTCAACATCACATGCGAATGCGCTCTCGAACTGCGGCGCGATCCTCAAGGACTCCAGCGCCAACCATGGGGCGTCGTAGCCCGAGCAGAAACTCCCGACCAGATACTTGCCATTGCTGCCCAACGCAACCTGAATGAAGGGAGGCGCAGCACAACAACGGGGCGCGGCTGCAAAAACAACCCAGTCATCTCAACAATCGTTTACGTGGGCGGCGCCAAAATGGCGGAGGCGGAGGAGGCACTCGGATGCCACTACAAAGGGGGCACGCAAGTAACATCTTTTCGGGGCGTGAGGTTGGGCATTGTTTGCACGCCCTCCTATCATTTCCCCGTCTCCTCCTCCTTGCAATTTGGCACGCGCCCGCAATGATTCAAATGAAGAGACGTTTGAAATTCTCAACGCTTCGCGTATCCCCACCAGCCCATCCAGAAACGATCAGCAGGGGGGCCGGTGAATCAGGGGCGGCAGAACGCATGCAGTCGCGCAGCCGTCTTCGAGAACACAATCATCACACATAGCTTCCCGCATTGAAGTTTAAGGTGGCAACCGGTGCAAATTACGACGGTGCTTCGATGAGAGGTGAGGGGTATTATTTCGATGACTCGCAATGGCTGTTGCACTGATTCCCTACCTAGGCTCTGCCTAGACGGGTTCTTACCCTGTGTGCTCAAGGGGCTGGGCAGTGCTCCCCGCCCTGGGTGCTTCCCCCAGGGCCCGCCCCGCGGTTCTCCCAGTTGCGCCCCCTGGGCTTACCCAGCTTAGCTTGGCTAAGCTTAGATTAGTTAAGATTAGCTTAGCTTGGCTTAGATTAGCTTAGCTCCGCTTAGCTTATCTCATTTTAGCTTAGTTTAGCTTTGCCTAGCCTAGCCTAGTTTAGCTTAGCTTAGCTTAGCATAGCTTGGCGTACCTTGACTTATCTCACCTTAGCTTAGCTTAGCTTAGCTTAGCTTTGCTTAACTTAGCATAGCTTAGCTTACCTTAGCTTAGCGCAGCATAGCGCAGCTGCTAAGCATTAGCACAGCATAACATAACATAGCATTGCCACGTATATCATAGCATAACTTGCA